ATACTAGGTGTCCTAGTGCAAAACTAAGAACAAATACACCTTATACACACACAAGAGTGAAATAAAAGGAGATATAGAGATACAAATCCTAAACCCTAATCTCAGGCCCTCTTTGGAACTTTTCGAAACCTTTGAGGAGGGAGGAGAAGCCCTCCTTTTATAGAGATTCACTCTCCAGCAGCCTTTCCAAGCTTAAATCCACTCAAAAACTTCAAGAACAACCCTTTGGCACCTCAGCAACCAAGGTAAGGTGTGATACTAGGTGTCCTAGTGCAAAACTAAGAACAAATACACCTTATACACACACAAGAGTGAAATAAAAGGAGATATAGAGATAGAGAGATACAAATCCTAAACCCTAATCTCAGGCCCTCTCTGGAACTTTTCGGAACCTTTGAGGAGGGAGGAGAAGCCCTCCTTTTATAGAGATTCACTCTTGCAAAGCTTACAAAATAAGCTAAGTAAGAGGGAAATCCCTTCATACACGTGTATGGAGGGGGTGCATTGTGGATGCCAGCTATCACAGCTGACATAAAATATCTGCCAAAAGCAGATGAACAGTGATCAGCCAGCCAAAAATGACAAATTGACCAAAACAATGGTCGGCCGACCATAAATAGTGCCGGTCGGCCATAACCAATGGCCGGTAGCAACAAAACAGGGCTGGTGGCCTCAAGCCATGGCCGGTGAGGTGTGGGGATGGCCAACAAGCCATTTCCCACCCTCAGAAGCAAAAACACAAGTGTTTGGTGCAAAACCAACCACAAAACAGGCAAGTCAAGAGGTCTTGAGGCAAGGCGCGTGGCCGAGACCTCCGAGAACTCAGGACGAACACAAACATGAATAATCATCGAGTGTTCAAACGATGACATCCAAGTCTTGAGGATGGTCAAAAATGGAGTGTCTACACATACTTATGATAGCATGTTTGCACACATTCATTCGTATTGCATACACTGGGCTCGGCGCATCATACTAACTACATAGTATTTCAAATTCCAAGTTGAATACGTGTATCGAGTTGTTGCATTTCACATGCCATCCTTAGATTAGCCGAGCCTATTCTAGTTGCATTTTGCATGTGTTGCATTAGACATCTTAACATGAACTAGGATCATGCATGATTACTAACTAGTTTCTTGTTTTGGCTCGGAGTACACTGTGAGTATTTATGCTTTAGCATCTTGCATGTATGTGAGTTTTGCCATGATAGCATGCTTACCATGAGACTATTTGCGTATGTGATGTAACTACCTGAATGCTTGTGGGTGAAGGTTGGATTGCTTGAATTGGGACAATTCATTGAAATTCGTATTTTAGTCTACTTGCGAGTAGCAAAACTCAAACCGTTTTTCTGAAAAAACGGATATGCGATGCTTTGTTCCAAATTAGGCGATCTAGTCTATACTTGTGTGTTATGCGCATCACATAGTAATTCTAGCTAATTAATCGGAATAAGAATGCATGTGTTTTCAAAAACGAGATATCATGTTTAGTAGTGGCCAATCTTTGATCGGGCGAGCGAGGGTGCTCATAGTTGACCTTCCCCAATCGTACCCAAGTTCCCGAGCCGAGGCAACTTTGGTGATGACGGACATGTGGCCTTAGGCAATGAGTTAGGGTTTCTTAAATTTCCCAAAAATAAAACATTTAGGTGGCGACTCTGTATCTGGCAAAGCAGTCCATGTTTGGCACTTCTTTTTAAAAATCTATTTTTCAAAACGATTTGCCGGATTTGGACTCTGTGGTGATTTATCAATCTCACATCGCACATTGTGAGATCAGATTAAGAACCATGACTATTTGAGTCTGAACTGTAGCATGAGGCCCACGGGCGCGTCTACACAATGCGACTCAATCATGTAACTTAATCCAATACAACTTAGACATGCAAACGTGGAAAGGGGTAAACATGTGAACATGCAATTAGCATACACAATGCTATGAATTACATGGCATACACAATGCCCATGACGCTTGCACACACAATGCACATGGTAACTAACATACATAATGCGATGAAAATGGCATGCACAAGTGTAATGATCAATCATGCAACAACATGGCATACTCAATGCTATGAACCACGTGGCATACTCAATACACAATGGACTTAAACCAAGATGGATAGGCCTCAACCATGTCCAAATCAGTGGCCAATGGTGATGAAATCAAGGCAACAAAACACATACAAGCATGCACAATGCAAGGGCCCAAGCTTAAGGCACAAAACACAACTTTCCAAAAGCATTGAAAGGATGCAACATGGAGTATAATGGCATATGTTCCAGCACTGAAATGGCATGCAAGATGACTTAGAATCATGCAAAACAACTCATGTAATGCATGTTAAAAGGCTCAAGCATCAAAAGCTAGTGAAGCATATTACACTACAAGCATGCATGGCAAGCATCATTTAACCAAGGGGCCTCAAAACCGAGCTAAGACAGCCCAAAATATGAACAAAATCATGTTGGAGCATGGCCAAAATATACTAGAATGATGAGCCAAAACATCATGCATTCAAAGCTAGTGAACAAGATTTACACTACAAGCATATGATGCATGCAGGAGGCTATTAAACCAGCCATAAACATAGCCATGACATGCCAAATGATGACAAAAAACCCACTGAAATGGAGCTGGTACATGCTAGATTGACATGCTACTTTGATGAGCCACAAATGGGATTACACTACACATATGAGAAGCATGCCAAGGGTGACCAAACCAACCATGGACAGAGTCTAGGAAGGCCCTAAAAGTCACCAAAAAGTGCCTGAACCAAGTCTTGAAAGTATGAAGATGTCTGCTCCTTTGATAGGCCAAAAATGCAAGCAAACAAAACAAGAAGAGAGGGGATCATCCCCCTCTAATTTGAGGCCTCAAAACCACATGCCTACCACTAAAAATCCACTGGATTTCAGTGGCTAGGAGTCCAAGCAAGGACTAGCTCAAAGGCCTTAAGGCATGGCACAAAACAAGGCTAAACAAAGCATGCAAGAGGGTAGAAGACCCTCAACACCCAAGAGGCCTTAAACAAACATCACAAGCACCTTAAAAAAAGACTTTTTTCAGTTGGAAGCTAAGCTCAAATAAGCATGCAAATGGGACCAAGAGAGCAACCAAAACAAAGCCTAAAAGGGAGAAAAGAGGTTACCCTTAAAGCACTGCGACAACAGCTTCTTTCTTAGCCAAAAAACCAGCCTTTTAACCCCCAAATATGTCCTCCAAGAACCTCAACTCAATGATGGGGGTGTGTGGTTAAGAGTTGTGGTGCAAAAGTGAGGAACAACCCACTTTTTAGGCCTCAAATATAGAGATAAAGAGGGAGATATATGCTTGTGCCTTAGGAAATTTTCTGAACCTCGTTCAAGGAGAGGGAGAGCCTCTCTTATAGAAGAAACAAAGGGTTCAAGCTTCTTGGAGAAGCTAAACTTGGATGCAATCCCTCCATACACGTGTATGGAGGATACAGTCTATGCCCTCCAGCTGGCATAGCTGGCATCCATTTAGTCAGACAAAACAGGAGGAAACCTACCGACCAGAAAAGGTGGTCAGCCTGTTACTTTTAGTGGTCGGCCGACCACCCAAAGTGGTTTTCCAAAAAAAAAAGTGGTCGGCTAGGGTAGTTGGTGGTCTCCACACTGAAAGCATGCCAATGGTGGGGTGGGAAACCAGAAAATGTGGCCCAAAGACCAAGAAAACCAGTTTCTCGACCAGAAAATCGACTGGCGGGGAGAAAAGTGGTTTCCAAGGAGAAAGCTGGTCTCCCACCCTTGGACCACCTTCCAAACAAGGAAAACAAGGTTTGTGCCAAGAACGAACCAACACGGATGCAAAACGAGAGTTCGAGGGGCAAGATGCGCGGCCGGAGGCCTCGAAAACTGGCTGTTAAGCACAAAAAGTGGCGTATGACCACAAAAGTGGTCTCCTGAGCCACAGTGTCCCCCTAGAGAGAGGAAACGAGGTGTGTTCCAAAAACCGTGCCAAACGGAGAATGTTAAGCGGTCCCGAGCCGAGGCGCACGACCGACGGCTTTGAAAACTGGAAACTAGTCTCCAAATGGGAACAGTAGCCTACGACACAAAGGGTTCAAGCTTCTTGGAGAAGCTAAACTTGGATGCAATCCCTCCATACACGTGTATGGAGGATACAGTCTATGCCCTCCAGCTGGCACAGCTGGCATCCATTCAGTCAGACAAAACATGAGGAAACCTGCCCACCAGAAAAGGTAGTCGGCCTGCTACTTTTAGTGGTCGGCCGACCACCCAAAGTGGTTTCCCAAAAAAAAAAGTGGTCGTCCAGGGTGATTGGTGGTCTCCACATTGAAAGCAAGCCAATGGTGGGGTGGGAAACCAGAAAATGTGGCCCAAAGACCAAGAAAACTAGTTTCTCGACTAGAAAACCGGCTGGCGGGGAGAAAAGTGGTTTCCAAGGAGAAAGTTGGTCTCCCACCCTTGGACCACCTTCCAAACAAGGAAAACAAGGTTTGTGCCAAGAACGAACCAACACGGATGCAAAATGAGAGTTCGAGGGGCAAGATGCGCGGCCGGAGGCCTCAAAAACTGGCTGTTGAGCACAAAAAGTGGCGTATGACCACAAAAGTGGTCTCCTGAGCCACAGTGTCCCCCTAGATAGAGGAAACGAGGTGTGTTCCAAAAACCGTGCCAAACGGAGAATGTTAAGCGGTCTCGAGCCGAGGTGCACGACCGACGGCTTCGAAAACCGAAAACTAGTCTCCAAATGGGAACAGTAGCCTACGACCACGAAAAGTAGCCTACGACCACTGAGAGATGGTCTACAAGACCTCTTCCTCCCTCCGGGAAGAGAAAACAAGACTTGGTCCGCGGATCGAGTCAAGGCACAAAGGGTCCCGAGGTTTGGAGGCAAGGCTCTCAGCCAAGAACTCTGAAACCTCGAAACGAGCACAACATGCGCAATCATTGAGTGCTCAATTGATGACGTTTGAGTCTTAAGGTCAGTAAAAAATGGGGTGTCTATACATAGGTACCAGGATACTTGGCGAGGAAGATCTTGAGGTATGGGATCTCATCAATAATAGCAGCAACACTTCCACTGGATAATGCATCAGCATATTCTTCATGTGAATTATATAATTTAAGCCTAGAGTCCGTGAAGTTCAAGTTTCTAACTATGACTCCTTGTACAAAAGACTTTTTTGGGAACCCTATATAATCCCCATTTGACGCCAATTGAATCTGTTGAACAGTCAACAGTGAAGTCAAGGTCGCTGTGTAGCTTAAAGTCAATATAAGCACCACGAACAGCCAAACAATCACTACAAACGTTGATAAGTTACTGAACAACCTCTCTCCTACAACATCCAATGCCATAAAAAATAAAAAATAAAAAATCATAACATGTCAGTTAAGTGATTTTTGAGGATTGCAAATACAATTTATATCTAGCCTACTCCTAAGAGTATGAGAAAGAAGAGCTGCTAAGCAGAGAGGGCGAGACTAATGAAGCTCATCAACGCCTTTGACGAGGTTTGAATCTCAAAACTCTCTCATATGAGAGTAATGGGGAGGCGCCAAAGGGCTAAAAGGCCTTTGTGTCACTCAAGTAAGTCTTAAATCTGCTCTACTTTGATAACATTTAGTTAAGAAAATTCAGTTGCTATACAAAAAGTGATCAGGTTTAATTATCTTGTATATGTGGGTTTAGTGTCTACATGTACCAGGGGTTAGCCTCAATACCCTTGTTATTAAAATAAATAAATAAAAAAAAGGTGATCTGGTTTTGGGGAAGAGAAATGGGACAAAAAGCTTATTATGGGCAAAAACAAGGGTTGAAAAGGAGAACTAGAAGACAGTCCAAATTTGCTGAGCTCGTGAACCTTGGAATTCTTCATTTATGGGATTTTCAATGATCCAAACCACAAAGCCTGTTAGGATAAAGAAACCAGCACTTGTTAGCCATAGATCTGAATCAAGTGGCTTCAAGAAGATCCACATGTTCTTCTTCATGTCAACTCGAGCTACTCTTCCAATGCCTATGTCGGTGTAAGTCAATGTAAAGTCGACATATAAAGATCTATTGGTTGTGATAGTGACATCCCCCAGAACAACATCATATTTCTAATCTATCCATAGAGCAACATAAAACAAATGTTTCATGAAAATGCAAGTTTTTTCTTATAAATTAATCATAGATGTTTTACTTTGGAACTATTGATCAGTGTGATATCAGCAATGCTATGTATCCAGAAAATTGCATTGAATTTGGAATATGTAGAACAGATTCATTCTGAGTGTGGCATATTCAAACACTGGGTACTTTTCTGAATATTTTTTTTCTTCTAGATAGTTGATTGCCCAAAAAAGTTTCTAGGCACATGTTCAAATTCTGGGTACTTCTCTGAATATCATTTTTGGTATGATATTTGATTACATTTGAAACAGAATGTACCTGAAGATAGACCTAATATACAAGATCATTGTATATTCCTGCAGTCTCTCCATTGGCATCTTCAAATGGGATAAATTCATAAGGCAACTCATATTTTAAGGCTTCAATGGCAGCATTGAATACATCTACACAAAAGCCAGTGACAGTGGTTGCATTGGTTTGAGGATTGCGTTCTACATTTACCAATTCCTTGTACCTTGATTTAGGAGGAACACCAATTCTAAGCTTTTTTCCACTCTTTCTCACCAACCAACCTTTTGGAGTGGTTGTAGAATTGCCCGGCCATAGAATGGCTTCAAGACTGTTGTTGGATGGGTACATTTGCTTTTTAATTCCATCTGTTGGTGTCCAAAACCCAACTCTTCTTTCATCTTTGTCGATCACATTCACTACTTCAAGGGCCTTGGAAATTAATCTCCCATTCAAGAGTTGAAACTCGCCACTTAAACCCGCAAATCTACTTTGTAATATTTCTTTTAGAAGCATTGACCCACTTTGAGAGGCTTCAATGTTGGGCAAGTCCATCAAGTTTGGCCCCATGCCACGTTGGTGAGAGTCTCTTGTACTGGGACTGCTATTTTTAACCTTCTCAACTGCCCTTGCTAGTGCCCAAGTTGCATCATATGCCCATATACCAAACGCATTCAACTCTGCCACTTCAAAACTTGAGTTTTGAATGTGAAATTCCCTTCTCCATCTTACAGTGAAATTATGGAGCTCGCTTGACACTGGAATGTAAGACTTGAAACCCAATCCTCCTTGCATTGACTCAATGGAAAAAGAGTCCATGGTATGCAGCAGGTTCATGGTTTTAGCAGTTACAATCCAAGCATGCCCTTCATCCATCATTCCTAACCTTTTCACATTTAGAAAAAGCCGAGAAGTGATAGGAGGTGACATATGGACAATGTATACTGTTGTCTGCATAGTCTTGAGCTTGTGAAGCTCTTCAAGAATTTGATCATTAGTGGCTGAGGAAGAAATGGAACTCATGTATGAAATGTGCATACTGGTCTCTTCGAAGGTATTAACTAAAAGTGGGAGAATTTCCCTCCCACAATCAGTGTCCTCATGAACAAGGATGACATTCCTCTATCCAAATGATCCTACAATGTCTACAATGCCTTTGAATTCAATGATTTCATCTGGTTTTATTTGAACAGAATAAGGATAATGGGTGGAGTAAGGACTTGTTGCAAAAGAAGTGATAGGCATTTTAGCTTTGTCTCCTAATAAGGCCCAAAGTTTATCTTCAAGAGAGGTCTCAGGGCCTATGATTATTGCTTGCACCTTGATGTTCTCTATTAGATCAAGAGCTGCAAAAGGCAAAGCAAAAACCTGAATCAGAAATATCTGAACTGTGAATGTAATCACAATCGTTCTTCATTAATTGAAGCTTTATATGGGGTATTGTAATCTTAGTTAACACCACCACTGAAAATTGAGTATGATCATAGTGGTTGTGGCATCTTGTTTGGATGGACAAAGTACATTGACAGTTTTAAGGTAGCAAGTGAAACTTTTAAGACAATCTTGAGGAATAGTACATGAGATTTGAGATTATTCCTCAAGAATTGGATGTCCCAAGTTCAAGTTTCCAAGTACATGGGTTTCCATGAGCTAAATTACATAAACAAAAATGACAAAATCACTTATTAGTTGGAGTGTGTTTAAGCTATTTCAATGGGCCTGATAATGTCAGGTCCCCTAAAAGGGAAAAAAAGCATTTTTTTAGTCAATCAGTAGCAGATAATTTACCAATATCACGAGAATTACATCAAATTAAACATCAATTATATAACGAAGTCCAACTTAATACCTCAAACTATCAAAATAATTGTTGAATATAGAAATTAGAGTGTATAGAATCTTTTTATTTTTAATATTATGTATAAAATCTGTGATTGTTTCAATCACTGATTGAGTATTGTTTCCTTATTTATATCGTTTGTTAAATTGTATTATGAATTTATAATATATACATGCCCTCTATCTTATTCTTGGGTAAACCAAATAATTAATTTCATTCTTTTTGGTATTAGAGATAGGTTAAGTGCCTAGTAATTTTGTTTCACCAGTGGGTGGCAGCCTTGCCTTGGCAGCCCGTCAGACCTCAACCCATTCCATTGTTGTATTTTCTTTTAGTATCACTTTGTGGTGATCTCTTCTTCTATCCACTAGTTTATTCCCCAAATATCTCTATCATATTTTTTTACTCACAATCCATTTTTTTTGTGTGTTTCTGTTCTACTTTGTCTTTCTCTTGATTTCAATCTCAAATAGGTTTTTATCTTCAAACCTATTTGAGTTTGAGGGGGGGTATTATACCTATATCATGGTGAGTGTGGTGATATACCATGTGAACCGCCTTAGCAGCCTCATCTAGCGCACAACCCAAGTTGCCCCCTCTGGCGCACAACCCAAGTCACCCCCCTGACGCACCACCTAAGCTACCCCCTGGCGCACTTTCTAATTAGCCGCCCCTTGGCACACTCAGTCATCTGTTGTCATCATCGTTCAGCACTACATCATAAGTTATGTGTGTGCCACGTTTGCTGGTGCAACATCCAGTTCTCCAAATCCGTCCAGCATAACCCCTGTAAACTGTCTCGACATTGATTCCGATTAGTCTCTACAACGGTCTGACATGACCCTTTTAAACTGTCATGACGTTGATTCCGGTTGGTTCTTACAACGGTCCAGAATGACCTTAAACTGTCCCGACATTAGTTCTGACTTTTCTACAACTGTCCGGCACAACTGTAAACTATCTCTCGGAGCCTCTAATGCTGAAGGGTCTTGTTAGCTGTTGGCCAAGGTGTTTCCTGGCCATGAATGCTTCGGTAGCTCTTCTAAGGCAGTTCAGTCCTTGTTTTTTTTTTTTTTCCTTTTCTAGGGTGTGATTTTGATGTATTAAGAACTTTTTGGCCTTTTTATTTTATTTAGTGAACTATCAGATTTGTTTGGTAGCATTTATTTGGACTAGCCGTTGAGTTTTTTTCCGGCTTCTTCCAATCATCTATTGGCAAGCTTCGATTGTTGAATATCTTCATACCAGCTTGACGGAGGAGTGTTGAATATAAAAATTAGAGTACATAAAATCTTTTTATTTTTAGTATTATGAGTATAATCTGTGATTGTGTCAATCACTAATTTAGTATTGTTTCCTTATTTATATCATTTTTTAAATTGTATCATGAATCTATCATATATACATGGCCTCTACCTCATTCATGGGTAAGCCAAATAATTCTTTTCATTCTTTTATAATAACACTGCCAATTGGATGCTACTGAACCCCTTGGGAGAACATGTATATTTATGTGCACAGATAAGAAATGTAGGATTGAAAATGTCACCCCAGATTGCAATTATGGTACACCAAGATATTAACTACTGAATGATAAATCAAGAACATAGATAGAAAAACACTTTGCAATTGCAAGCACATGAATATGAGAGGGTAAAAAAAAAAGACAACACTCACCAGCAGACAGTGCAAGCAAGGGTTCTCCATTGGAATCCCTTGTATGAAGAATAACCCTAGTTTTATATTGAGGAGTATTTACAGCATAAAAATCAGAAATCGCCATCGTAATGGAGCTATGAACAACCTTCCCTACCCATGATCCCATATCAAGAGTCATACCAACCTTAACCTCATTCATAGCACCACCAAGATTACTACTACTACTCTGGTTCTGGTATGCAAATTCATCAAGCTCTGCATTTAACAGAGTTAGAAAGCTCAACAACACTAGCAATATTAGAAATGAAACCTGAGTGTTTTTCTTCATCCTCATCTTGACTTAGACAAATGGGGTGTGTAATAACCCAAATTTTTAATTATTCTGTAAAATTTATATTAATATTATTTAATCACAATTGGAAAAATATATGATTTATTTTGTATTATTATGTGTAATTTTATAAAATAATATAATTAGCTTAAGAATTGAGCAAGGTTTAAAATAAAAAAATAAAATAAAATAAAAAAAGCAAACCGACGCAACACGTAGCCTAGATGATAATTAGGCATGCATAGGTGTAGACTAGTGAGTCACCTTTGGGATAAGCTTGAATTGAGGGAGGAGAATTTGAAGGAGCCACGTGTAAGTTGTGGCTTGGGTTGCCTCTTATAAATAGGGAGGAGGTGTGGAGTTGCGACAAACAAAGAAAGGGAAAAGTACCGGAAGTAAAGAAGAAAGAGTAAGGTACTATTTTTACGGTGAGTTATATTATACCTTGAGTTACCATAATATATTTTACATATGTTTTGATTTATCATAATTTATTTTATATAAGTCATATTTTATGAGTTATATTAATACAAGTTACTTTCTATAAATTATATTAATATTTCAATTACGTGAATTAATTTCTGAACTCTATTTGTTAAAATGAAATCCTTGGATATGTTTGTTTCAATTTTAAAGAATATTTGACTATAATCTTATAAACAATTATGTTTTGTAAGTATCACCACGGGAGTCACACGCCTTGGGGGACTTAAATAACTATTGGCTTTTGTTTGACCACTTTGTGGCCCTCTATTGTCATTGATCTATTGACCTCTGTTCTGTGCGGAGCAAAGTGCTGTACGGAGATAAGTGCTACACTATTGTGGGAGCCACCTCTATAATCCGTACGAGTCACCTATTGAATTTGTACCTCTGTTCTGACTGTCACTCTTGTGACCTCTGTTCTGTTTTGTTCGGTACCGTGGTTATGGTTATTTATTTACATAATCTTAGTTTTGCCACATAACAGGTTATTTGTTCAGACTAAGTTATCTTAATATTTTAGTTACATAACTATTCATGGTTATTTTGTATCCCGTATAATCTTGGCATAATATTTCTCACTCTGCCATGTGCTTATAGTTGTTTACCAATTTTTAGGAAACAATACAATTCAGAAATAACTTTTGGAAGATCTTAAATGCGGGGTTGCGGAATAGACACACAACACTTTTATGATATTTTTATCTATAAATATCGACCTTTTTGGTCAATCAATTTTGTAATAAAAATAGAAGCTCCAATGATTATTTTGGTACCCTCACTTAAATATTATTTCCGCTTGCGTTTATTTATTTGTTTAAGAATTGCAGGAGGTAACTTTAATTATTGGCCATCACGATACTTAACTCTTGGGTATGGGGAGTGGGTCGTGACAAGGTGTTTGTTTGTTTAGTTTTCTTTTTCTTTTTTAATTATTAGCCTCAATTTTCTGATAATATTTTCTTATATAAGCATGTTGAGGACACGCATTTGAAAATCCACAAACGATTCTTCAAAGCTGAGCTTGAAGTTGTTCTTGAATTGATCAAGAACAACTAGCTTGCGTTTACAAGTCAATAGTACTACTAGAATAACTAGCTCGCGTTTACAAGTCAATAGTACTACTAGTACTATTAGAAATGAAACCAATAATGTGTTTTTCTTCATCATACTCATTATGGTATCTTTTTCCTCAAATTTTGCTTACTTGTAGTCATGTGGTTTATATAATTTAATTACATTAGTGTTATTTTTAAAATTTTCGAGTGAAACTGTCAATTTATTATCTTCAAAGTGATTAAGGGATTGACATCTAATTTAATTTAATTTTTTTTAAAGAAACTTTACAATGGTAATGATTGAGAAGCCTGTGAGGGCGTTTATCACGCAGAGAAAAATACAATCTAGAAGAGATAAAATTCAGAGAGAAAGAATGAAGTTAACCAACCATTGTAGTGAGGCCATATATTTATAGTTTATATGGTGGCCTTTGATCAATGGTTGCAAACATTCAAATTGCAATGTCAAACCAACAGTCACCATGTTTCCAACCATTGTGACTGCTTGTTTTAAATTCAAAACTTCTAGTTGTATTTCTTCCTGCGGGAAGGTTTTATATTACACCACTAATTGGGTTATGATTTGGTGTGAGACAATCCACCATATTATGGTGTGAACACTCTCATACTTTCATCTCCCACTTGATCACAC